ATGACTTTATAGAGGCATGGATAGATAAAGTGCAAGATAGGGTTGACCTCATGGCCTGGTTAAGAGAGCTAAATCCCGTATTGCCAACCATGCAGTTTGAATCTGCCCCAGTAGCTTGAAAATCATGTCAGGCATGTGTGCATGCTTGCCCAAAATCTTGACAGGAATGGATTGAGGCGTGACTATGCCCCTTTGGGGGATATTTTCTCTCTTTCTCTCCCTCTCTTTGGTGAGTGAGTACATGGGTCCTCTGACAAGTAAGTGCAAAATAGAGCAGTAGATATTAATGTAATAGAATGTGAAAAAGCTCATTCATTGATCTTATTTAAGATTGCAGCCATTGGTGTAATGGCTATGTTGCTGGACTCCCGTGTAGTTGACCACAGTTGGAGTCCTGGAACTGGTGGCTTAAACTCATGTCAGGCACATGTGAGTTTGCGCGTGCCCAAGATCCCGAGAGGACAGTGGAGGAGAAGGGATTGCGGTGTGGCCATCCTCCCTGGGGAGGAGGGGTTGATTTCTTGCTTTCTGTCTCTCTCTCTCTGTCATTCTGGCAAGAACACGCACCCTATAGCAAAAACCTCAAAAAAAAAAAAAAAAAAGATTGCAACTGATCTTTAACAAACTACTTATAGAGTTTTGGTGTATTATCAAAGAACATCCACAATTACAGGGGAAAAGGAGGAGTTCCCTCTTCCCCCGAGTTTCTTTCATCAGCAAGACAGAAAGCACTTCAATAGAGTCTTGAGGCTGCATTCTGCTCCAGCCTTCATCTAGGCTGGTCATATAGGAAGACTGCCAAGTATATACTATAATTCCAGACTGACAGTAGGATAAATCATGTTGGTTGCACAGTTTAGGAGCCACTTTATCAGTTAGGAGAAAGTGTGCTGTGTACGCATGTGTGTGGTGTTTTAGAAGGGGTCTTGCTGAGTCATGATCTTCCCGTTTCAGCCTTAGCAGTAGTTGAACTACAGGAGTGTGCCACATGTGTCTGGCTTTTAGGATGGGCCTGGAATTGAACTTTGGCCTCGCCTGTGGCCTTAGCCTGCAGAGTAGCAGCATTGCAATACTGTGGCTGGGACAGTTAGGAAAAGTTGTGTCTTTGTTGGGGACCATTTACCAGCCAAGTTGCCAGACACCAGGCCAAGGCCCTTAAGAAATAGGCCTTCCTCAGAGTAGCAATCTCAGGCCTATTGTGTTAACTTTTTTGAACAATTACCATAGATGAGTTTTGCCAATTCTTGAATATTATATAAAATGAATCACATATATGCACTCCTGGCTACCTCTGTTTAACATGTTTGAGAGATCATTGCTGGTTTGTTCATTCTATAGCCAAATAGTGTTTCATGAAATGAACATACCACAGTTTATTCTTTGTACTGTTGATGGGCAAAGTTGCTTCCCCTTCTCCCAAACATTTGGTATATCTCTTTTCATTTTGTAGTTAACCTTATGGGTATGTAGTAATATTTTGTTGTGATTTAAATCAGTATTTCCTTGATGACCCATAAGTTTGACCTATTTTTTTCATCTATATAGTAGCCATTTTGATAATGGCTAACCTTTTTTATTGTAAATGTCCATTCAAGTCCCTTGCCCATTTTTACATTAAGTTTTGTGATTTATTGAGTTCTTCATGTACGATGTACACTTGGGTATGAGTTCATTGTTGGATATATATATAGTATAGATATACTGTTGGAAAAGTCATGATGCATTTTTGCATAGAAAAGCATGGAAAGTTATGTCATGATTTTTCAGACAACCCAATATATGTATTGTATGTATACAAATAAAATCATGCCGCTGTTGTCATTTTGTGCTCATTAAGTCTACTGCCATTTTTTTTTTTTTCCTTTTTTTGGTAGAGGACACATGTATTTGCCAGAGAGATAAAGAGAGAGGAAGAAGCACCCCCAGTAGGGAGTGTTCATGCTGCAGTCCCTTTTGGGATCAGGCGCCAGGTCTGGGACTTGAACTGTGTGGGCAGCCATGTGGGAATGGACTGCCTTAACTACCAGGCTGGTCCTTGAAGCTTCTTTTAATGAAGGAGTTACTAACTTTAAAGTAGCCTAATTCAGTCTGATCTTCCCTTTCTGTTGCCCTCTTTAAGAGGTCTTTGTCTACTGTTAGGCAATGAAATGTTGTGTTATCTTTTAGAGCCTTTTTTATTTTACCTTTCATATTTGATAGATTTTTAATAATTTGGGATTTATTTTTGTATATGGTTTGAAAATGGGAGCTGGTGGTAGTAAAAGTCCTGGATTCCCGCATGGCTGACTGATTCTAGTCCTGCACCTGGTGACTCGAAAATCATGCCGGGCGCATTGTATGTATCACCCAAGATCCCAAGAGGAGAATAGAGGGGAAGAAATTACAGCCTGGCCATCCCCCTGGGGAGTGATTTCTCACTTTCCCTCTCTCTGTCTTGGTGACTCTCCAGCAAGTGCATATACTCTTTGGCACCAAAAAAAAAAAAAGGAAAAGTAGGAAAGAAAGAAAGAAAACAGGGGCCCAAAATTTTGAAAATAAATAAATATATCCAGTTGACAGCACTGTTTATTGAAAAATAAGTCCATTTCACTGCTGTTCAGAACTACCTCTGTCTGAAGGACCCTTTTTTCTCTATTTCATTCCATTGTTTATCTTTGTGCCAAAACCACTATCTTAATAAACTTTTTAAAAGTCTTAATATAGTGTGAGTCTTTCAACTTCTAATGTCGTGCAGGTTTTTCTACTTCTTTTTTTCTGGACAGTTCTTAGCCCTTTGAATTTTTGTATAAAATTTTTTAGAATAATCTTGTCATTCCTCTCTTTTACTCTCTCTCTCACGCACACACACATACACATGCACGAAAGGTGGATTTATTGGGACTGACTTAACTGTATTGAATCATTTAATCAATTTGGGGAGAATTGATACCTTTAGAATTTAGTGTCACAATCCATAAACCTGTAGTATATCTATCTCTCCATTTATTTAAATTTCCTTCAGAAAAAACTTTATTGGTGGTCTTGCCCATGTGTCATTAGATTTATTCTTAGGTATTTGGTATGGAAAGATATAGGTATGATTATTGAGGGGCTCTGCCTGATGCCCATTCTATTCTCTATTGAGTCTCAGTTGCTGTTGATTTCAGAAAGCTCAACTTAGTTCGGAGATAATATGGACAGCAGAGTTTTGTGTGGAAGGTCTCCAGAGATTTAAGAATTAAAAGCAAACTTAATGGTAGCAGTTAAGATTTTGTGCTGAAACAGTTTTTATATTTAGTATTTAGATTTTTGAAACACGAAATATTTGTAGTCATGATGTACAATTACAATATGGACATCTTGGTCATTACTATGTAAAGTAATCCTTTTTAGTTAAATGAAATGCTGTACATTTTAGGTGTGGTTTTAATTTAGGTTTGAAAATCATAACATTTCGGGACCAGCAGTTAGTGTGATGGCTATGTCGCTGAACTCCCATGTAGTCAACTACGGTTCGAGTCCCGGACCCGGTGGCTTAAATTCACACCGGGCGCATGTGCATGTGTGCCCAAGATCCTGAGAGGAGAATGGAGGAGAAGGGATTGTGGCGTGGCCATGCTCCCTAGGGGGTGATTTCTCGCTTTCTATCTCTCTCTCTTAATCTTTCTGGCTAGCGCATGCACCTTACAGCAAAAACCTCTATTAAAAAAAAAAATCATAACATTTCACTATGGTTTTACATTTTTATAGCAGAGGGAGTTATGAGTGTACGAGGAGACTTGGACAGTAGTATTAAAATGTATAAAAATATACTGTGATACAGTTAGACAGTTAATGTGTTTTCAGATTTGTGGTGCTGTTTATTCATGGCAGAACTTTTACTAGAAACTTGAGGAGTGTGAGGAAGATCTCATTGTGACTTTTACAAATTGCTTAACATTTCAGTACCTTGATTTCTTCTGTCTGAACAAGGAGTAAAGTAATAGTACTCATCTTTGTGAAGGACTTAGTATCTAGCTCATAAGTGCTTAGTATGCATTATCTATTATTTTTTCCTTCTATAAATATTTAAGCACTAAGAGGGCACTTAAAAGATTTTGTCTTATCACTGTCTTCTTATCTTCTGAGTACTGATTATATAGACACAATTTCTTCATTAATGGAGGTTGCAATCTTGTCAGTACAAATCATTGTAGGTAATAAATCATGTTCACAAAAAGGTAAATAAATACAGCCTCATGCTTCCCTGAGAAACTTTAGTTGTTTGTAGAACATCTACTTGCTAATTTGTATAATGATAGTGTTATTTCATTTGCTTAACTTAAAAATCCTAGGGTTGATTCCATGGCCTGGTGGTTGAGGAAGCCAGATCCCACCTGGCTAACCATCGTTTTTCAAGCTGCTTTGAAAAACACCCAGGGTGGGTTTGTGTACATGTTCAAAATTTCAACAAGAGGAAGAAATGGAAGAGAAGGGATTGTGGTACAACCTCATCCCATTGCAGGGATACTTTATCCCTCTTTTTATCCCTCCTGCTGTCTGGCAAGCACATGTGTCCTCTGTAATTAAAAGAAGAAGAAGGAAAAAAAAAAAAAAAGACAGCTGTTGAAATCCTGAAGAGAATCTTAGACTTTTGACCTGTGATTATGCAGTTTTTTGCTTGTGCCAGTTTTTGCTTGTGCTGCTGATAGTCAAGTCCTCTCTGTCCTGAGAGTTAAAAGACCATGTTTTCTAGTTTTGCAGCTAATTTCCTTCACAACTTCTTGTAAATTACTTCTTACCCTGTCTGTCATTGAAAGGGTTTGTATTCAGTGATTTCTGTGGTCTCTTAACTCTCATTTTGTTATTTGATTTTTCCAAATTATGTGATGTTCTAGAGGAAGGGAGCAGGAATCCATTTATAACGAATATTTGCCTGAACACCAAAAGCTGAAGCATAAGTATTGAACCCATACGCCATAATCATATTTTGGTTTTATTTTATTCTAGATGCCAGAAGTGGGTAGAGAATTGTAGGAGAGCAGACTTAGAAGATAAAACACCTGATCAACTAAATAAACATTATCGATTATGTGCCAAACATTTTGAGACCTCAATGATCTGTAGAACTGTAAGTAATACAAGATTTCTTTCTTTCTCTCTGTCTGGTTGGAAATGTAAATATTTATCTATTAATGTTGGTATATCCCTATACCTTGCCTCATAAAGGTGAAGACAATTTCAGAGTTGAATAATATCTTTTCTGTTTTTCAAACCTGATTTTCCCCTACCTCTTCCCAATGTCCTGTTTCCATTCACCTAAGGTAACCACTTAGGAACTTCTTTAGCATTCAGAAAATATGAAATATGAGATGATTAAAAAGTATGTATGTATTTAAATGTTTTTATCTGGAGCAACTTCTCTATAGCTTTTGAGTAACATTTTCATCTAGCAGTCGGACTCTTTGTCTTCCTGTTTCTCTTAGAACCAACCCTTAATTTTGATGTGCTAGGTACAACAGGAAACAAATCACATAGGTAACATGAAAACAACTCCCAGGGTCATTTGCAATTTCATGCCAAGACTTAAGTTATCTGTATAAGGTTGACTAAGTCACTTTCTCTGGGTCCCAGTTTCTTTTTTCTTTATGGAGAGGTTTTTGCTATAGGGTGTGTGTGCTCGCCAGAAAGACAGAGAGAGAATGACAGAAAGTGAAAGCGAGAAATCATCCCCCGGAGGGGATGGCCACACTGCAACCCTTCTCCATTATCCTCTCAGGATCTTGGGCACGCGCGCACATGCACCCAGCATGAGTTTAAGCTACCAGGTCCAGGACTCAAACTGTGGTCAACTACATGGGAGTCCAGCGACAGAGTCATTATGCCATCTACTGGTCCCTCTGCGCCCTAGTTTCTAAGGAGGAGATTAAACTAGTTAACTACTGAGGTCTGAGATTTTTAGCCCTCTATAACTGCTGTAGTTCATAAAAGGCACAAATAGGGTAGATTTGATTGAAATGAAGCAGTTAAAACTCTTAAAAGTGGGACCAGCAGATAGTGTAATGGATAAGTTGTGAATTCCCATGTAGTTGACTATGGTTCGAGTCCCAGACCTGGTGGCTTGAAACTCACGCTAGGCACATGTGTATGTGTATCTAAGATCCCGAGAGGAGGATAGAGGAGAAGGGATTGGCCATCCCCCCTGGGAAGTAATTTCTTGCTTTCTGTCTGTCTGTCTGTCTGTCTCTCTCTCCAATGAGTGTACACACACTATAGCAAAAATCTCTAAAAATAAATAAATATAAAGCAATTAAAAGCTAGTTAGGAAGATAGTTTTCCTAAATAACATATCCTTGTTTAGGTATCACTAATATATCGTCTCAGATATTGGGATAGACATAAACTTGATTTGAAGGTACTCTATATTGTTACGTAGCAATTTATTTTGATATTTTTTTCAGATACATTTTACAGAGGCATCAGAAACTAAAGAATGATTGGGTTATTTTATTTCTCAAAATTAATTGAAGCAGATACTTGTGAAGTCACTGGGAGGTGAGCCAATTCCGGTTCAACAGTTTAATCACAAATATTTGAGGGATATTTTTGCCTTGCTTTGTTAAGAGGGTAATAATGATAAACCAAAATAAGAGATGTCATATGTTTAAAAGGCAAACTACTTTTATGTTCTTGACATTAAATAAAAATATCCCAAATTATTATTCTAAATGCATAAGTCATGCATTTTTTAATTTTAGTAATAAATATAGACTCTTAAATAGATCACTTCAACCGAATTGCTGTGACAAATTTCAAATATAGTTCACTCTTATTTTACATTTAGTCAGAGTATAGAACAGAAAGGTGAGCTAGGTTTGCTTGAATTTCCAAATGATTCTTTAAACTTGAATAAATTAATCCAAATGTGAGAAAATGTTGATGGAAGATGCTATTAAAAGCTGAATTTATCTAATATCTATATCCAGATGTTCAAGAGTTTGGGCTTCATTAGTTTGGCATTTAAGCACTCATCAGTGGACATTCATGACTAGTTCAGCCCAGATTGATTATTTTGTTATCTTTGATGCTAGAGTTACGATCAGTGCTATATGTTCAGACTTTATTTCACTAAAGATGAAATGTTGATATAAAGCTAAAATGATCATGTGTGTTAATATAGCCATTTTGGCATGTATACTTATAAATAAATATATATATATATGGTGCCACGTGTTTTTCATTCATACATTCTGTTTTTTTTGTTTTATAATATCTTTGCTTTATTTGCATATAGCAAATTAATTTGATTTGAATTGTAGAAATGTATTAGGATGTTTTATCCTGTTCCTCCTTATTATAATTGGTGAGATATTGAGAGTTGAATGTATGTGTATGTTTGCTAATTTTTGAGACCTCTACTCAGTGGGAAAGATGGGAAGCTATGGATATCATAGTTTTTGCTCCCATTAGGGGTTGTGTCCCTAGTAAATCCCTGATTCAAATTCCCTAGTAGATTCAGGATCTAGTCCACCTTAGAACCCTAAGTGTCATTAAGCAACTAGTTTTTCTTTTTTATGTTTTCTGCATACATAGGATTAAACTAGAAAATACTGAGTAGAAATTATTCCCAAATGTGTTAACTCTGGATAAAACTCCAGCTAGTGCATTCCACTTATATACATGCTTTCCCTTTGTGTCTTTCTAATCTTTCTGCCCTGGGTGAGAAAGCTGGGGAGTTATTTATTTATTATTTAAAGAGAGATTTTTGCTGTAGGGCACATGCATTCCCCAGAGAGATGGGAAAAGACAGAAAGTAAGAAATCACCCCCTGGGGGAATGGCCACACTGCAATCCATTTTTTTCCATTTTACTCTCAGGTTTTTGGGTACATATGCCTCTTGTGAATTTTAAACCACTGTGTCTGGGACTCAAACCGCCGTTAACTATGTGGGAGTCCAGCAATGTAATTGTTATGCCATCTGTTGGTCACCCAGAGAAAGCTTTTTAAATGTGTCTTCTTTTTATGGTTGCAAATTCAGAATGAGATTAAAGGCATTGTTTGGACTAGCTGAGGGGAATATAATAGCAGTTGTTTATCTTTTACTCTCCCCTTTAATCATCTTCTTGTTCCTACATAGCCTCCTCTTGGCTGGCTGTGGAAAGGTGTCACCATTTAAGTATGCATCTAGCTTCTAGCCATGTTGGCTTAGGCTAATGGGAAGTAGGGAGTAGTAATGTCATCCTTTAATGACAGGATCATTAGAACTAGAAGGGAATTTAGAGTGATCTAGTTTAGTGTTTGCAAGAAGATGTCATTTTTATCACTTGTGTGAGAGATGATTTCAAGTGGTACAAGAATAATTTCTGGTTTTTATTAAAAAATTTTTTGTTTTAAGCTTCTTTACCCATTTCTTCTGTGAGAGAAAGAGAAATGGAGAGATATGCACTTCCAACAGGGTCTTCATGCCAAAATCTAACACCTGATGTGTACAGAGAAACCTTGGCATGTGAACCTGGGACCTTCCATGTGGCTTCAGTATTGCCGTGCCACTAAATTTTTGTTCTAGGTGACAACTGGCCGTAAATTTTTATTTTAGAAATTTTGTAATTTGTGTGAAAAATATAACTAGTTCATCAAATCATCATTCTTTCAGTTTATTGCTTAATGCAACATTAACAAAAAAAATAACCAGCTTTGTAGCTCAGGCAGTATCCTACTGATCTGCAGTACTGGAAGCCACGAGGGCTACCGTGGGTTCAGATCCTGAGCTGAAATACATTGTGTTCACACACCGTGGTGCTGAGACGCTGACTAGCTCAAGAGCTGTGGGAAGGGGATCATGGCATAACAAGACCCTGTTGGGATGCTTTTCTCTCTTTCTGTCACATGTGCATCTGCACATGCTCTTGCAATGAAAAAATAAGCAAACTTTATTTAAAAAATAAAGTGGTATTCATTTTTTAAAAGTGAGTAGATTGTGTTACAGATGGTGGTGTAACTGAAAGGGCAAACATTATGAATACCAGTAATGTGAATGATTTCATTTTGGGAAATGTCGATCTAGTTGAATACCTGAATATTATTCAGAAGAGGAAACTGTGGTCCAAAAAGGAGAAAATAAATTAGCCAGGGTCTCTTAGTCACTGGTAGAGTTCGAACTAGTTCTTAGGTCTCCCAGGTCCTAGTCCAGTGTGACTTACACTGTGCCTCAGTACTTCTCCGTAATAATCTGCCCTCTTGTATGTTCTGTAATAATACTTCCCTCCTTTACCTGCATTCACTCCACTTTTGATAATACAGGGGGCTTCAGAAGGCTCATGGAAATGAGTAGTATGAGTAAACTGTCCCTGGATTTCAATTTTTTTGCTCCAAAATAAACTTGAATTTTATTTTCCATTTATCGAAGTCCTTTTGTATTATCAAAAGTGGAGTGAACACTAGGTAAAGGAGAGATACATTATTGTAGAATTTCAAGGACAGATTATGTGGGAGCCTTGAGCATCCATAGATTTGATGGGTTCGTGGAAGGACAAACAGATAAAAGTCACTAAAGGTTGAATTAGAAATATATATGCAAAATACAGATACATTTAAAAAATTTTCCCCCAAATATGATTTTTTCAGCTTTGTGATATTTGTAGTATATATTCTGTCATAATAAGACATCAATTAATGAGAAGGTGACAACTCATTACCCTCTAAAATAACCCTGAAAAACATGTTAATTTTTATGCCTACCATCAGTTTAATTCCTTAATTTTTAATCGGTTGCCAGAGGGCAAATGCAGATAAGCATGAGAAATGGTAACTGAACTTCACTGACATCAGAACACTTCAGAGCTGGAGTTGAAGGAGTATTGGGGAGGTCATTAAAATAGAATCTGATTTATGTAATACATTCTTAAGGATCATCTCTGAATTTATATATCTTTCTTTTTCAGAGCCCTTATAGAACAGTTCTTCGAGATAATGCAATACCAACAATATTTGATCTCACCAGTCATCTGAACAATCCCCATAGCAGACATAGAAAACGAATAAAAGAATTGGTATGTTGATGTGCCTTCAGCTTTCCTGCTTCTCATAGCACTATGAAATCAAATATGGATGTGTTTATGTTAAAATTATTCCCAGTTACTCTCTCTCAAAGGTAGCATAATGGAAAATGAATGCTGTAATAACTAGAGTGGCCTACATGTGGAACAACTAGTTGGTTTTAGTATTTAAATTGGAAAACTCTCCCCCAGATTTAGGCAGTTGATACAAATTTGGGGCATTTTATTGCAGTTCTTTAAGAGTATATGCATTCTTCCTTAGATTACTTCCAAATACTTAAGGTTCTTATTGTTATGTTATAGTCATGAAGAAGCTTCCCCCCCCCCCCCCAGCCCCCGATATATTCAAAATTGTTTTAAAATTTTGCTTTAGGGCACGTGCAGTTGCCAGAGAAAAAGAGAGAGAGATAGAAATCATCCCCCAACAGGGAATGACCACACTGCAGTCCTTTCTCTTTGTCTCTTTTTGGGGTTTGGGGCATGCACACACATGCCCAGCATGTTTTTCAAGCCTCTGAGTCCAGGATTTGAACCATGTAGTCAGCCATGTGGGATCCAGCATTTTAACCTCCGTGACACCTGCTAGCTCATATATCTTTTTGTTAAAAAAAATAATAAATAATTAAAAACTTTTCTGGAAGGACTTCTATAAGGTACATAATTGTCTGCTCTTGAAAGTTAGGTACATGCTGGCTAAACCATCAGAGGGTTTGGGTATAGAGGGAAGGTTTCCATTGTCTTCCTAATTTTTTAAATTTAATTTATTTTTTCTTTCTTGAGCTTCATTATATGTTTTCAAGGTTTATAAACTTCATCTGGGATATTTGAATGTTTGCCGTTTTCTGTTTCTAAAATTATTTTAATAATCTTTTCAAAGAACCAGTAATTTTGTTAATAGTTGCTGTACTTGGGAGTTATTTGTTTCTTTTTAATTTGAGAGATTTATTTTTGGTCTCTTTTTCTAGATTCTTGAATGTTTAGTTCATGTTTATGTGTATTCATGCAAATGTCTACGTCAGTCTTAGCTATATTACACAATTTTAGACATGTCATGCTTTCATTGTTTAGCTATAAGATTTTGCTTTTTCCTATTTCTTTAACATAGGATTGTTTTGATTTTAGTTTCCAAAAATATATTTTTAATTTTTATTTCAAATATTATAAGTGAAGCAAAAAAGATAAATATAGTCTATGTGATGTTGGCTCTGTGGCTTTTAACATTTATTATTGCTATTAAAGTTTGATGCCAGCTTGTTTCTTGTCCCTATTTAGGTGATCTGCTGTTTATCCCTCAAAACTTTTTTTCTTTGTATTTGACATTTTAAATTTTATTAAATTACGTTTAGGTATGAGTTTTTATCTTATCGAACCTTTTTACCCTTTACATTCGAAGACTTACAGCTTAAGCTCCAAGAAATCCTTGTTTTTACTTTTTTTGGTGCATTTCTTCTCCTTTGTTTCTATTTCTCTGGGACTCACCGTAGGAGAATGCTGTCACTCACAGCAGTTGCACAGCTTTCTTCACAGTGATGTGTATCAGGTGCCAGGAGCTCAGCGACTTCCCTTGGTTGTCGTTTCTGTATCTGCCCCTTAGGGACCTCACATTTCTCCTAGCAGACACACTCTTGCAGATCTGCCACCCAAGGGAGTGTTCCAGGCTGCCCTACAGGAAACCTCCTGTCTCCCGGGGTCACGGACACTGCTGCTTTCCTGCTGCAGGACAGTAACGAGTGGTCGCAGTCTCAGTGTTGGAGAGTTGGAGGGAGCGTAAGGGATGCAGGTGGGAAGTCCTTCTTAAGTCCAGCCCTCTCTGTGCCACTAGGCCCCTGTGTCTGCACATCGAGTTCTCTTCATGCTGGCACCCTATTGCCCTTCGCTTCCTGGGGTTTCTCACTGCTTTTGTGTACAGTTCTGGGCTCAGCAGCCTTCCTCTTACGTGGCATGTCTAGGGTTAGGTTAAGAAAGGGAGTGACATGTGTTCTATTGAATTTGATCCTGCGTTCCATCATGTACTTTCATGCGTTGTTAGCCAGTAAACACTTGGATTCCAAGACTGTAGTGATTTAGGTGGAAAGTAAGTTAAATGATGTGTTCTTTCCCCTCTAGGACTTTAGTATAAACTTGGAGTTGTAAGCAAATTATTGTTCTCGTCGTTTTCCATCATCTGTCTGTCTGAAGAATGTATTCCATATAAAGAATTTATGTTCTCGAAAGAATTAAATTTGACTCAAAATACGCTTTTTTTTGGGTGAGTCTAAGACTAAATACATAAGAGGTCAGTTTTAAAGATGATTTGTTTTTCCCTTTTTTCTTGTTATTTAGAGTGAAGATGAAATCAGGACACTTAAACAGAAAAAAAGTAAGTGATAAGTGTTAATGACTCAACTTGAGAATGCCTTTTAAAAAGGCCTTGACCTGGTAAGGACTGGTAAATACGTTTTGTGTCCAAAGCCTATTTTGAGAATGGATGCAAGTGTGGCTGGCTTTGTCTTGTGGTCTGGAGTTGCCTGTGAGAGTGAATTTTTCTTTCAGTTTTTCTTCACTGAGTGCCCTGTGCCATACACTCTGCCAAGGGCAGACCTCACGCTGTTGTGAATTATTCTAAGTGCTTTGCTTATAGTAACTCATTGATTCTCATGAGCCCTGAGATGAGTATCATTCTTTTCCCCCTGGTACATAAGGGGACATGCATGGACTCAGGCAGAAGGGAGGGAAAGGTACTCGGTGCAGAAGCAGAGTGGCATGAAAAGGGCTACTAGATTTGGGGTACAACACCCATATTTGTGTTTTTGGTGTTTCAGATAACCCACGATGGTTAGAAAATAAACCTAAAAGGAATTCCAGAGGCCAGAACTTGCAGAGTTGATACTGTTGGAAAAAGGGAACCATAGAGGAGTTTGAGAGTAGGGGGGTAGCAGAGACCTGATTTCCATGTTACTTAGAGCACTCTATATGATGAGCAAAGGTAACACTGGAGGGAGGGAGGCTAGTTAGGCATTCAGCAGACCAAATACAAGCTGAAAGACTGAGTGAAGGCAGTGACTTAAATGGTGGACAAAAGGAAATGGATTCAGGGAACTCAGGGAACTTATAAACCTATGACTTGCATGTAGAAAGGTGCTCAAAGGAGAAAGACAAGACTTCTCCCTTTATTTTTGTTCTTTCACGAGCATCTTTTTGAGAAATTAAAAACAATAGTATTAGTTCTTGAGAACTGAAAAGGCATGTGTGATGGAGGAAGAGGGGGAGGGAGGCAGGCAGAAAGGTGTCAAGGTACCCTCAGCTCTCAGCGGGGAAGAGCTGATGTGGTGTAGAACCACCGCTCGTAGGGTATGCTGTGCAGCAGTGCCGCCATCAGTTGGGTAAAGTGTGCTGCCCCTGCACTTGCTGGACCCTGCTGGAGCTTGGTGGGGCCTGGGGTATCCAGGAACAGTGGGCACAGGCTCCAGTGGCCCGGATATTGCTTTGTACCTGGATAGCCTGTTCCCCTCTTCCACTGTGGTGCTTTTGCTGTAGTACTTCCCACCAGCTGAAGTGCCCTTCCTGCTTATGTGCTCCTTGTCCTCCTTCTTCCAGTACACCTTCTTTATTCTGAGTTTTTCTGAACCTCTTCCATCCACAGTGATACTGCACAACTCTTAGTGGACCTCTCATAGTCTTATGTATTAGGAATTAAATTCTAACTATGATTCCACAGATTAGGCTTCTTTTCCTGATGCTACCACTGACCCATAAGACTTGGCAGGACATTTTACCTGCGGGGCCTCAGTTTTCACATCTATATCTGAAGAGATCAGGCTGAGATTTCTAATATTCTAGTATGAACTTTAACTGTCACTGCAATCTCTATTACATTGGTTTATATAGCTCTCTTGTGTCTCCTGTAAAAATGCGGCTTTAATGACTTTATAGAAACAGCGTCAGCATGAGTGGGAGTCAGACAAGCTTGGATTCGAATTCCACTTCCATCCTTCTATGACCTTGGTTGGGCAAGTTAAGTTACTATCCTCATTAGTCACATAGGGTTGGTACCACTTGAACGAAGAGTTCTGTCATACTTGTAAAACACCAAGCACAGTGCCTCAGTAAATATTAGTTCTCATCCCCTTCCTTATAGTCTGTGTAATATATGAAGTGCCTTGTTACTAAGTTTATAAAAAAATCATTCTTTTCGTAGCACGTACACTCAGGCTTACGTCTTTACCGTGTTTGTCTCTTGCACTAGAGGATGTCTTGTTTTAATCCATATCCTAGTCTGTGGTCCTGTAGATGCCCTGGTGAATGTTGAAATGAATGAGTTTGTGAATTTTAAATACTTAGCCAATCAAAAATGTAAGACTTCTATTGTGTAGAGTTCCTCACGAGCCTGCTTGTAAAATCAGTTGTTTGTTTTCCAGTTGACGAGACTTCCGAACAGGAGCAAAAACACAAAGAGACAAATAACAGCAATGCCCAGAACCCCAGTGCGGAGGAGGGGGGTGAAGAACCGGATGAGGACATTTTACCTTTGACCCTGGAAGAGAAGGAGAACAAAGAATACTTAAAATCTTTATTCGAAATTTTGATTCTGATGGGAAAACAAAACATACCTCTGGATGGACACGAGGCTGATGAGATTCCAGATGGTCTCTTCACTCCTGATAACTTTCAAGCCCTGCTGGAGTGCCGTATAAACTCTGGCGAAGAAGTCCTGCGAAAGCGCTTTGAAACGACAGCAGTCAACACATTGTTCTGCTCGAAAACACAGCAGAAACAGATGCTGGAGATCTGCGAGAGCTGCATCCGCGAGGAGACACTCAGGGAGGTGAGGGACTCACACTTCTTCTCCATCATCACTGACGACGTGGTGGACATCGCTGGGGAGGAGCAGCTGCCTGTGCTGGTGAGGTTCGTCGATGAATCTCATAACTTGAGAGAGGAGTTTGTGGGCTTCCTGCCTTATGAAGCCGACGCGGAAATTTTGGCTGTGAAATTTCACACTACAATAACCGAGAAATGGGGGTTGAATATGGAGTATTGTCGTGGCCAGGCCTACATCGTGTCCAGTGGATTTTCTTCGAAAATGAAAGTTGTTGCTTCTAGACTGTTAGAGAAATATCCCCAAGCCATCTATACACTCTGTTCTTCATGTGCCTTAAACATGTGGTTGGCAAAATCAGTGCCCGTTATGGGAGTGTCTGTGGCACTGGGGACAATCGAGGAAGTTTCTTCCTTTTTCCATCGATCACCGCAACTGCTTTTAGAACTTGACAATGTGATTTCTGTTCTTTTTCAGAACAATGAAGAAAGGGGCAAAGAACTGAAGGAAATTTGCCGTTCTCGGTGGACAGGGAGGCATGATGCTTTTGATATTTTAGTGGATCTCTTGCAAGCACTTGTTTTATGTTTAGATGCTATAAATAGTGACACAAATATTCGATGGAACAACTGTATAGCTGGCAGAGCATTCGTGCTCTGTAGTGCAGTAACAGATTTTGATTTCATTGTTACCATTGTTGTTCTTAAAAATGTCCTGTCTTTTACAAGAGCCTTTGGGAAAAATCTGCAGGGGCACACCTCCGATGTCTTCTTTGCAGCCAGCAGCTTGACTGCAGTACTGCATTCACTCAACGAAGTGATGGAAAATATCGAGGTTTATCATGAGTTTTGGTTTGAAGAAGCCACCAATTTGGCAACCAAACTCGATATTCAAATGAAACTCCCTGGGAAATTTCGCAGAGCTCAGCAAGGTAACTTGGAATCTCAACTAACCTCAGAGAGTTACTATAAAGAGACCCTGAGTGTTCCGACAGTGGAGCATATTATTCAGGAGCTTAAAGATATCTTCTCAGAACAGCACCTCAAAGCTCTTAAATGCTTGTCTCTGGTACCCTCAGTCATGGGACAGCTTAAGTTCAACACGTCAGAGGAACACCATGCCGACATGTACAGAAGTGACCTGCCCAATCCTGACACGCTCTCAGCCGAGCTTCATTGTTGGAGAATCAAATGGAAACACAGAGGGAAGGACATAGAACTTCCCTCCACTATTTACGAGGCCCTCCATCTGCCCGACATCAAGTTCTTCCCTAATGTGTACGCACTGCTGAAGGTCTTGTGCATCCTTCCTGTGATGAAGGTTGAGAACGAGCGCTATGAGAATGGACGGAAGCGTCTCAAAGCATACTTGAGGAACACTTTGACAGACCAAAGGTCGAGTAACCTAGCTTTGCTTAACATAAATTTTGATATAAAACATGATCTGGATTTAATGGTAGACACATATATCAAACTCTATACAGCAAAGTCAGAGCTTCCTGCAGATCATTCAGAAACCATCGGAAATACCTAAGACTTTTATAGCAGGTTTGGTCTGATATTTGACATTTGGAAGGAAACTGTAAGATCTATGTAGGCCACTGAATCATTGAATGTCTGCCCATAGGCCTCCATTTGAATACATTAGCCATGGATAATCTACCTATTTAAATGGCCCCTGTTTGAACTCTCATGCCTTGAAGACCTGTCTGTTCTTCCAGAAGACAGTATTGAAAGCGCCACCTCTTTCTTTGGTGTGAATTCTGCCAGTGGCACTCTGGAATTGTTTTAGCTAAGTCATCTTAAACATAACCTTTATTACCACTGTGGATTCTGTTGGGTACCCAAGTTACCAATTCTTTGAAGAAATACATTTTGAAGGAGTGTGGGAGGAAAGAATACATTTCATAAAATATTACAGTGGAGCCACATTGTTTGACTAGTAAAGGTTTCAAGTACATTGTTAAAAAAAAAACTGAAATGGATAGTTAAGGGAATTACCAGAGAAAGAAGCTAAGCGCTCACCCACCAAGGATTTCAATGTAGATTTTGACTTTACCAAATGAATTTAAAGGAATAATTTATAGTCCAAGTTTGGATGAAATAACTTGCACTTGTTCCATGTCTGGTTATCGCTGTTTACATTCCTTTGTTGAGGCTATATCTTCATATTCATAAGCTTTTTAGCCGATAATATTGAACACTTGGTTTCATGGTCAGGACAGAATCAGGCCATGGATCCTGACAGTGGACTCATCTGTCTTCTGTCTTCTTCCATGACTGTATTTATTGCCTCATCTTGGTTTATGAGCAAAACCTGGAGAACTTAGGAAAATAGCTGTTTTGTGATTTATCTAGAAATAATACAGAAAATATTGCTGTTATTTTTGGTGAAGAAAATCAATTTTGTATAGTTTATTTCAATCTAAATAAAATGTGAATTTTGTTTAAAATTCAGGTACATTATTTTTGGTGGGGTCAAAGCATAGTTTTGTAGTAAATTCTCTCTAAAAATATTTGATATTCATGGCCAGCCAGGTAGCATGGTGTTTGGGGCAACTGGATCCCCAGTTTGGTTGCACAGTTCTAGTCCCAGACCTGGTGGCTTGGAAAATGTGCAGGGCATGTGTATGTGTGCGCCTAAATCCCTAGAGGAGAAGGGATTGTAGCGTGGCCATCCTCCCCCTCAGACCAAGTAGTAATATATTTTCCTCTCTCTCTGTCTCTTTGGCAAATGCACATGCCATATAACAAAAACTAAAATATATTACTACTTGGTATAGAAAAGGACATTCTAATAAATTACTAAATGTAAAATTTATCTAACTAATGTGTTTTATGTTATATATTATATAGCTCCTGATGTCTATCTGGGTTTGTATTGTTGCTGCCTCAAATGTGAATGAATATAATTGTGGAGCTGTTACTGAATTTTTTCTGCTGGGGTAAATTAGTGTTACTTGAACTTCAGAAGGCAGGATGAGGTTAAGTTTGCTGAGTTGTAATGATAGCCAACAGCGTGTGTGTTTGTGCTGAGCGAGACCAGCATGTGTGTCAGGTCAGGACCTGACCCATATGAATGATAAAAGGATAGTGAGTTTACCTTATATCTGGTGCTCAAAAAGATGCCTCTGTCCTTGACAGAACTGACCAAGTTCCTAATGACAGAATGCCGGTGAAAGAGATTCAGAAATGGCCTTTCAGCACTTGTATCCACAGAGTGGTGTGACCCTGACAGATTGTTTAACTTGAGTCTGTTTCCTCAATTATAAAAGCCTACCTTAAGGTTAGATAATTTTATGATCAGTGACCTATGGCTACTTAACAATGTCCCAATACTTAGTGGCCCAAATAAACAGTTATCATTCTCAATTGAGTGGATTGGTTAAGTGCCATTTGCTAGTCTCAGCTGGGCTCTGCATTCAGCTGGCAGATTGGCTGAGGGCTTGGGCTTAGGTCATGATGGTCTCAGAGTACCAAGAAGACAGGGCAGTAACTCCAAAACCTGGGCTCAAGAACTCACAGAATGTCCCTTTCATCACATTCTTTTGGTCAGAGCAAGTCTCAGCCCACCTAGATTCTAGGAATGAGGAAACAGACTCCTCTGAGGAGTTGTAAAATATGGCCCTATTTCAGTCTACTACAATAATGTGTCAAAAACATTTATGCAACAAGTTTTAGTTAAGCTTTTAAGGAGCTCATCTTTTGTTTTTGTTTTTGGTTTCTTTTTCTTTTTCTTTTTTTTTTTTTAAGGTTTTCGCCATAGGGCAAGTGTACTTACTGGACAGAGACAGCTAGTGAGAGGGAAAGTGAGAGCTCACCTCCTGGAGCAGGTAGCCATGCCAAAATCCCCTCTCCTTCTGGAATTTTGGGCACACACATACACCAGGCGTGATTTTCAACTCTCTAGGTCCACGACTTGAACTATGGTCAGCCATGTATGAGTCTAGCACTTTAATCACTGTGCTTACCTGCTAGCCTCCCATCATTTGTTTTTATATAATTTTCTAACTGGGAACCTATTGAAAGCTTAAAAATACAAACTTTGTTAAAAAGCATTTTTACAAACTCCAGTCTTTGTTGGTAGGTTGAGTCAGTGGTAGCCTCAGATGAAAGATTGTCTTTTGGGGACTGCAGGTTGCATGGTGGTTAAGGCGCTAGACTCCCACATGGCCAACTGTGGTTCAAGTCTTAGACCTAGAGGCTTGCTTTCCTCCTTCCCTTTCTCTCTGTTTCTTTCTGGTCAAATTAAACATATAATGATGATAATAAATGAAATAAAATAATTCTTTTTTTTTTCTTTTTTTTTGAGAGGTGTTTTTTGCTATAGGGCGTGTGCACTTGCCAGAAAGAGAGACAGAGAGACAGAAAGCGAGAAATCACCCCCCAGGGGGGATGGCCATGCGGCAATCCCTTCTCCTCCATTATCCTCTCAGGATCTTGGGCACGCACGCACACGCGCCCGGCATGAGTTTAAGCCACTGGGGCCGGGACTCAAACCACGGTCGACTACATGAGAGTCCAACGACATAGCCATTACACAAACTGCTGGTCCCAAATAAAATAATTCTTTAAAGAAGAAAAAAGAAAGATTGTCTTCTGTGAGATTAGGTTATTTGAAAGTTGTTAGCGGACTGACTGTTCATTCCACAAACAGGAGTTGGGTGCTCACTGTGTACCAGGCTAATCAGCTAAGTGCTAGCTTGGTACTCTGAGACCACCATGCCATAAACCCAACCCTCCCTCCCCCACAGCTGAATGCAGAGCCCAGATGGGAACCAGTCAGTCACTCATCCAGTTCACCTAACTGAAATGATAAACTATTTCTTTGGACAACTAAGTGTTGGAATGATGCTCTTTCTTTTTTTCTTTTTCTTTTTTCTTTTTTTTTCCCCATAGGGCACACATGCTCACCAAAGAGAGGCAGAGAGAGAAAGTGAGAAATCATCCCCTCTCCCTAGGGCAGGTGGCTATACTGCAGTCCTCTTCTCCATTCTCCTCTTAGGATTTTGGGCATGTACACACATGCCTGGTGTCATTTTCAAACTGCCAGGTCTGGGACTTGAACCACTGTTGGCCATGTGGAAGTAGTTCAGCACCTTAACCACCATGCCACCTGCTGACCCCAGGGCAATGCACTTTCTGATTCACAGAGCTCACACCTCTACTAGAGGCTGTCTACAGGATTGCATTTTATTACATAAACAAACTTCATAGACCTGCATAAATCAGGTTTATTGGCATTAAAAGAAAATTACAGAATACCAGTGAAACTTAGTGCATTTAAGAAAATTGGTTCTGTATTATATCTGAACAGTTTGCAAAATGTACTAGAAAATAATCGTACTGGCCCCTTGTCCATGGTTTCACTTTCTGTGGTTTCAGTTACCTGTAGTCAACTGTGGTCAGAAAATAGGTGAGTGTAATATAGTAAGATATTTTGACAAAGACGACATTTGCATAACTTAGTATATTATTATAATTCTATTTGTTATTGTTGTTAATCACGTACTGTGCCTAATTCATAAATTAGGTATGTAAGTATGTATGAGTATAGGGTTTGGTGCTGTCCATGAGATCTTGAAACATATCCCCTGCAAATAAAAAGGAACACCGTACATTTAGAAGTTAGCCTATCCAATTGGAGGAATTTTTGCTTTTGACTTTCTGCTCTTAAGTTTTGTTAGAAAGCATGTGTGCTTGCCAGAGAGACACATTGGGAGAGAGAAAGCACTCCCCCAACCCCACCCCTAGTGGGGCATGGTTACACCACAATCCCTTCTCCATTTCTCCACCCTGTTGGGATTTGGGGCATGCACACACATGCGCCCAGATGCATGTACTCTTTATTTATTAATTTCTTTTGAAAATAGAAATTCATATAGTTGAGGGCTGGTCCCAGGGCCTACTGGTTAAGAGAGCTCTCTCACGTAGCCAACTGCATGTTGGAAGCCTGAACCTTTTGACGTGGAAAACACCAGGTGCCTGTGTGTGTGTGTGCCCAAAATTCTGGCAGGAAAGAGAAATGGAGAAGGGATTGTAGCATGATTATGCCCCACTGGGTGATGCTTGTTTTCTTTCTTTCTCTCTCAGTCTCTGGTGAGCTCACGGGCCCTCTAGCAATTAAGAAAAAAGTTACACAGTTGAAGCTTAATGTAGGATGTTATCTGTAAAATAAATGAGAGTCAGTGTTTTATTAATTGGTCAGCAGATGGCATGGTGGCTAAAGGCACTGGACTCCCACATGGCCAATTGTGGTTTAAGTTTTAGAACTGGTGACTTGCTTTCTCATTCCCTCCCTCCCTCCCTCCCTCCCTCCCTCACTCACTCACTCTTGTCTGTCTCTGGTCAATTTTTAAAAATAAATAAAATAATTCTTTTTAAAAAATTGTAGTTTTCATTTAATTCTTAGAATAATATATGAGGTAGTTTTTGAGGGCTGAGTTGAAAGAGTCCTCAGTTTTGTGCTTTTTTTTTTTTTTTTTTTTTTTTTTTTTTTTTCTTTTTCTTTTCTGGTTTAAAAAAAAAAAAATTGCCAGAGGGCACATTTGCTAGCCTGGGAGAGTAGAGAAAGAGGGAAAATGAGAAGCATCCCCCTCATGGGGCGTGGTCATGCTGTAATCCCCTCTCCCATTTCCCTCGTGATTTTGGGCACGCAGATACACATGCCTGGTATATTTCTCAGGCCACTGAGTCTGGGACTTGAACCACATAGCCATGTGGGATCTAGTCACCTTAGTCACTGTGGCATGAACTGACCAATAGCCACTTCTTAAGTGCTGTATAAAGGCAGTCAGAGGGGCCAGCAGATGGCAAAATGATGACATTACCAGACTCACACATGGCCAACCATGGTTTGAGTCCCAGACCTGGTGGCTTGAAAATAACACTGGGCGCACATGCATGGGTGCCCAGGATCCCAGGAGGAGAATGGAAGAGAAGGGATTGTGGCATAGTCATTTTCCCTCCCCGGGGGGGTAGGGGTGATTTCTCATTTTCCTTCTTACTGTCTCTGTCTCTGGTGAGCACACGTGCCCTAAAACAAAAACCTCTTAAAAAAATAAAGTAAGTAACTCAGAAAGCACAGGGAAATAGTACTTGCAACGTCTATTACTGTTTTTATGACACTTCAGAGCTTACAAAGCACCTCGAATCATCTCATTCCAATGGTCAGAGTTACTTAGGCAGGTATCCCTGCTTCTCAGTGGAGAAGTCAGGCTTGCAGAGGGAACTTAATTGTCCTGAATTATGTACCTCGTTAAGTGCCAGAGCCAGGTACTTCGGTCCAGTTCTTCAGTCTTAGAATTGATTGTGAAAACGACTTCATTCTCTTGGTTTGTAGAAGAAATGTTTGCTTCAAGAATAGGCTTCCTTTATGCTCTTGCTTCAGTTCATTGCCAGCTTCCAGCATCTCTGAAATCTGCTCATTATAGTCGGCATGAGATCTGTGGAAAAAAAAAAAATCAGAGCCCCAGACTTCTGAGACTTTACAGACTGGGTGTAGAAATGCCGCCACCTTGTTTGGCTGCCAAGACACTACCACGGAGGACCACATCCAGGTCCATTTATTTCACGAGAGTGGGTGCACCCGTCTTCTTGTAATCAAATGCTCTTCTGTAGCCAGCTTTT